TGGTTGAACTGCAAGGTTGACAGTTCAAACTCACCAGCTACGCCTCGGAAACACTATACAGGGTCACTATGAGTTGGAACCAACTCAGCCACACTTAAGAACAACAACAGAATACCACATTATATGGCCTCGTAAATATATATTTGCATTAGAAAAAGTTATCTTATATATCATAATATGCATACTAATGGTTTGCTAAGGATAACAGATCCAGGATTTTAGTGATAAAGTTGTTGTTAGTGCCACTGAGTTGCTTTTGACTCTTGGTGACCCTGTATAAGGCTTCCAAGGAGCAGCTGGTGGGGTTGAACCATCAACCTGTGTCTAGTAGTTCTGTACTTATCCTACAGTACCATACCAGGACCTTCTAGTACTGACATAAATTTTATTGTGAATTCCCTTTGAGGTCTTTTTGCTGTTTTTGTTAAGTGCTGTTGAGTTGGTTCCAACTCAAAATGATCCTGTGTAGGATTCTTAAGAAATAGCTGGTGAGTTTGAACTGCTGACCTTTAGGTTAGCAGTCCAGTACTTATCTTAACAGTATCACAGCAGGACTCATCATAAGAGGTAACTAAAATTTATGATAGTTATATATGAGAAGTCCTGGTGTGGCATTGTAGGTTAATGCACCATACTGCAAAGCCGTTTGAATTGCAAGGTGAGCAGTTCAAGCTCACCAGCTGCTCCTCGGAAACCCTATACAGGGTCACTATGGGTCAGAACTGACTCGACGGTGCTTAATTACAAACAACAACAATATATGAGAGAACTTCAAAAAATTCCATTATCTTTTTATTCCATTTTATCTTCAAACATTTTGATGCCCCCTCTTATTTTCCAACTGGTTAGTTAATATGATGCTAAGCATAAGTAAAAAATTTTTCAAGTTTTTATTGTGACCTGAGTAGACATTTGCAGAGCAGATCATCAGTTTAACATTCAACAAATCATGTTCTTTGCTTTGTTACATGGTTGCAGTCTTCTCCATGTCCCAACAGTACAGCATTTAGCTCTATTCACTTGAACTATTGCATTCCTCCTAATGTCTCCTGCTTTCTTCATCTTTCCTTTGGTAACCTCCCTCTTGCTGTATATGGGTTGCCCTGTAACTCACGTTAACATGTGTCTACCCTCTAGCCCAGGAATAATCTCCCACCCCATAACCATTATAAATTGTTTCTTTAATGAAGAAAACCATTTTTACACTTTTTACAACATTGATCTCACAAAATGTTTGTCCTTTTGTGATTGCTAAATTTCACTCAGCATAATGTTCTCCAGGTTCAACCATGTGAGCTGTTTTACAGATTCATCATTATTCTTCATTGTTTTATACTATTCCATTGTGGGTATGTACCAAAGGTTGTTTAACCATGCTTCTGTTGATGGGCATGTTTTTGATATGTCTATTGTAGACAGCTTATTGAAGGATCCTATTTTCTTATATATTCTGTTCTTTGTATCCTGATGGTACATTTAATCAGTTACATTCAGTGTAATTATCAATAGGTATGGATTGATTGCTTTGTTTTTCTGTTTGTGTGCATGTGTGTGTGTGGTACTGCTGGATTCTTTGTTCCACATAATTTTCTGTGCTGAGTTTATTTTGTTTGTGGGTTTTCTTTTCATTTTCATTTCTGTTTTATTGTTGTTATTGTTGTTAAGTGCCGTCGAGTCGGTTCCGACCCATAGCGACCCTGTACAGGGTTTCCGAGGCTGTAAATCTTTATGGGAGCAGAAAGCCTCATCTTTCTCCCGCAGAACAGCTGGTAGTTTCGAACTGCTAACCTTAAGGCTCGCAGCCCGATTTGTAACCACTATGCTTATTTAGTATTTATTAAATCTTTCTGATTTTTCTCTGCTTTTATTTTGATGGACCAGGTGTATTGTTTTTCTTTGAGATTACCGTACAACTTATTAATTTTTTTCCCTGCTTAAAGGTTTGTTTTATCCTGAAACCTACTTGACTTTCTTGCTATCTTGAATTTCTGTCTCTATACTATTCCTTCCTTTTGTTTTGTAGTTGACTTCATTTTACATGATAACTCTGGCTCCCTATTTTTAGTCTTGTAGGTGTGTTTTATTTTAAATACTTCTATATCAGGATTGAATTCTGGGTGCTGTTATCATGTATGGTAAGCTCAGGTTGTTACCTGCTATTGTTTGTTCTCAGTCCAAAGAACACCCTTTAGCATATTTTTGGTAATGTTGGTCTGGTCATTACAAAGTCCTTTAATTTCCATTTACTAGTGAATGCCCTAATTTTGCAATTGTATTTGAGGGACATCTTTGCTGAGTATATGATTCTTGTTTGGCAATTTGTTTTTCTTTTGTTTCAGAGTTTTGTATATGTCATCCCATTGCCTTCTTGCCTGTATGGATTCTGCTGAGAAATCAAAAGCTTATTCTTAATTGGTTCTTCTCTGTCGGTAACTTTTCATTTTTCCTGAGCTGCTCTCAGGATTCTTTCCTTGTCTTTGATTTAGCAGATTTTGATTATGATATGCCTTGTTGATTTTCTTTTGAAATCTATCCTGTTCAGTGTTTGTTCAGTTTCCTATATGCTTATTGTCTTGTCTTTCATGATGTTAGGGGAAGTTTTCTTCCAACAACTCTTCGACAATTTTCTCTGTGCTTTTTATTGTCTGTTCCTGTTTTGTAATTCCAGTTACCCATAAGTTGTTCATCTTCTTGGTGTCCTCATATTAAGGCTTTCTTAATATTTTTTCATTCTTTTTTCCGATTGTTCTTCTAGCATACTAATACTGAGCGATTTTTCTTCACACTCACTAATTCAGGGCTTCCATTGTTTTCAAAATTCTCCTTTGTCCTTACAATGTATTATCCATTTCTGAAATTTTAGTGTTAATCTTTTGGATTTTTAATTGCAGGTTTTGTATTGTTTCAAAATTTGTATTTATTTTATGTTTCTTCTTGTAGTATTTTCCTTAATTCTTCTAAAGTGTATATAGTGTTCTCCTTGTGTTCCTCAATCTTTCTGTCAAACCTTTGACGGTCCCAAAATACTCTTTTGAATTATTTTTCATTTATTTCCATTACCTTTTTTCCCCCTCAGAAATGTTTTCTGTCTTTTCATCGTGGTCATTTGTTTGAGTCATTCTCTTGTTTCTTTGTGTGAGCTAAAACTTTCTGCTGTCTTCAGGGCATTTTGGTGGTGGTGTTGTACTTGTAAAAACAAACAATGCAGTTGGTGGGCTCCTACAATTCAAGAAGCTCATGAGGTAGTTGCAGAAGAAATGTGACCACAGAGTCCCTGGCCCTAGATGGAATTCCTGTGGGTCTCGGTCTTATCTGTGTTCAGTGCACTCAGTCTGAAAGTTGTTTGTGGTAGCCCTTGATTTAGCTGGTATCAGTATCTGTTAGGATCATAGGGAAGCTATGGGCGGGGTGACCGGTTAAATGCTGGTCTGGTGACTTTGAAGGTTTTGTAGGTCTGGAACCAAGCCCTCCTGAATTTAGCCACCAAACCTGCACATAGAAGTAGTGTAGCTGGCCCCCAACTCACACTGGCATGTGATCTCCCAGATCACATGGCTGTGATCTCCCAGAAAGCAGGGTCCAGCTTACTGTGGATAAGTGTGAGAGCTCGCCACACTTTTGGTCACCAGGGAAGTGTGGGAAAAAGAAGAAATCGCACTTTTCCTGCCTTCCACACGAATTTGCTCTGCCAAGCCACCCTTTGCCAAAGCTGCTCACAAGATGGTTGAGCCACATCTAGCCAGCTGTTCACCCCGTTCCTTCTCTTGCCATCCTTGCTCAGCCTCCCCTACCCGTAAACACTCCATCCACCTCTCTAACCTTTCTCTCTGAAAATATTAAATTTTATCTTGGAAATGATGTTACAACTCAGACTAATTTAAAAAATATCATATGATTACATTTGCAGCTCCAGTATGTCGTATTATCCCTATGATTCTGGAAAATTGAAATTAAAACAAAATTATTACTTTTTTTTAAACATTATTTCTAAATGTTTTCTATATAATTTTGTAGTCAGTCAGTAGATAAGCTTCCAAAAAAGAAAAGGTAAGATTAGAATATAGTTTCTTCATTTAATCAGAGATTTTAAAATCTATTTTCATTGTTAAAGAAGAGACATAAGCTTGCAGGTTCAAACTAACATTTTATATGGGAAAAATAAATGTCTTTATTTTAGTTCTTGCTTCACCCATTATTTCGGTGAATTAGTTTTTGAATTCTAGAATTACAACTCAGTAAACAGATTGTGCGTATGCTTTATTTTTACCTTGTGGCAAACATAACAATAATTACATGTAATATGTAAGTGCTAATTCCAGACAGCATTAGGTGTTAAATTAAAAAAGAAAAAAAGAAAGAAAATAGCTTCTTGTTAAAGTAACAATTTTTATGAATATAGAATTGAAATTTGAATGTTTTCTTTAAAGTATTATTCATTGTTAATTTCACATAGGGAAATACACCCTTTTGCTCAATATAAGGAATCCTGATGGGTACAGTGGTTAAAGCACTTGGTTTCTAATTAAAAGGGTGGCAGTTCAAACCCACCAGCTGCTCTTTGTAAACACTATTCAGTCTGCTTTCTTAAAGATTTATAAGTTTGCAAGCCTTCTGGAGCACTTCTACACTGTTATGTACAGCCCTGAGACAGAATCAACTCAAGGTCAGCAGGTTTGGTTGTTGGTCTATTATAAATGCCAATACTGGTGTTTATAAATGTTGTAGGAGTCCTGATGTGGCTTTGTAGGATAAGCACTGGACCACAGGTCAGTTTAAACCATAACGTTGACAGTTCAAAGTGACCAGCTTCTTCTCAGAAACTAGACAGGGCCACTATGAGTCAGAATCAGCTCCATGACACTTAACAACAACAACATACTGTGGTAACTTTGTTTCCATCAATTGTAAGGCATCATCTATTATTGCTAATATTATTATTTAAGGAAATTGTTATATTTTCTACCATAGATCCGCAATAATATCTCATTCTATTTTCTCAGGAACTTCCAGAACCATTACTTGATGAGAATTGTAAAAAGGAATTTGATGAAAATACATGTAATCATAAAACACCAGAATCTAATATGGAGATGAAAATAGCTTGGCGATACCAGTTATTACCCAAGATGGAGGCAAGTCAACATATAACTGATTTCTAAAATTTACAGATATATTTTATAGACTCTCTTGTAGTATGTCTGTTATATACAGTGTACATTTGTATATTTAAATAACTAGGCATTTCATTTGTAGAGTATTTATCAAAGTGATATATGTCTTGAAAATGAAATTATGGCAAATTGTTGTTTTACCAGATTAGATTATTTTACTTTTTCTGTAATCTCCATATAGAATCCTTCACATGAGATTGCAAGCCAGAGTAAGGTTACTAATTAAGCCATTTCTGTCCAGCATAGCTATCTGAAATAGTCAGTGTAAGCAGTAATTCCTTGGGATTACTTTGTTTATTTTCATATATTTTTCAACCATAATAATCTTTACATTTTTATACTCACCTATCTGGTAACCTCACCTGTAAGACAGGAGATAAGAGTGCAGTTTCTGAGACACTAAAACAGATGTTCACTAAAGTTCATGAACTATATAAATGCTGCAGGCTTAAGGAAAATTTCTCAGAACCTATGTAGAAGAATAAATGTAGCAGGCTGTTAATTTTACATAAAGTTCTAATAAACATTATCAACTTTCTAAACTCACAGAATATGAGAAAAAAATATGTTTTCCTTAAGGTGTATATATGTATATATTTGTAAAGTGCCCTTAAGTCAGTTGTTAAGAGCCCTTCCAACTCATAGCGACTCTGTGTAGGGTTTCCCAAAGAGCAACTGGTGAGTTTGAACCATGACCTTGCAGTTCAGATGACACTGTGGTCCAGTGCTTATCTTATAGCACCACACTAGGACTCCATATCTGTGTGTATGTGAAATTATAAATATTAGATCATATACCATTCAACAATTTTCACATGTCCAATTCAGTAACATCATTTGGTTTCCTTTTGCCATTCCTCCATTTTAAATTATAACTATTATAACCTAGGTAACCCTGTGAGCAATTCTACTCTTGGACTCCTGGTATGATGCTGTAGGATCAGCACTGAACTGTGAACCACACCAGCTGCTCCTTGGAAACCCTATTCAGGGTTGCTATGAGTTGGAACCTATTCGATGGCACTTAACTACAACCAACCTTATAAATTACAGTACCTTCCTGCCAAGCTCAGATATAGCCTTAGAATTCTTCTCTGCAAAGTGCTCTAAATATTCATTGCCAGTTAATCACAGTTCATATGTGAGATGAAATGTGACTGCCATTCTAGGCCTGCAGTATAAAATGCAAACTTCTTAAGATGTGGACTCGATTTATACAATCTAACCCAAGCCTACCTTTTTAGCCTCTTCCCTCTGTGTATATAAAATACTATATTCACACATCATTTGTGATTTGCTCCTTGTACTTGTTTTCTGATGCTAATGCTTTTCACTTTCCTTATCTCCTGGAGAACTCATCCGGTTATACCACACTGAGAAAGTAAAAATGATAGACTACTTGTGATACAGCTTTTCTCTGAAAGTTTTGGCTACTGGAGGTAGATGATGGTATTGTTTGTTGCTCTGTTTCACTCCTGGTCCCCCACCAGAGTTCATTTTCTTTTAACATAATAAGTTCTACTAAATGATTCCATTTAACTCTCTTCTACAACTGACAGCATTGAAGGGTAGTTTGTGAATGTCAAACAAAAGTTTTCAAAATGTAAAATTAAACCAAAATACTCTTACCAAACTGAGTGAACTGAATAGTTACTGATGATGATTTGATGTAGGGTAAAGCACTGGACCGCAAGAGCTGTTTGAACTACAAGGATGGTGGTTCAGACTCACCAGCCACTCCTTGGAACCCCCTTGGCAACACTTAACTACAACAAAACATCTTTATGGCAGAGTCTTGGTGTGATGCTGAGGGGTAAAGCACTGGTTTGAACTGCAGGCTTGGCAGTTCAAATGCACCAGCTGCTCCTTGGAAACCCTATTCAGAATCGCAATGAGTTAGAACTGACTGGATGGTACTTAACAACAAACAATAATTTTTATGGCAAAAAATGCATTAATTAGACTTCAAACATTAGATTATGTACACTACATGTCACTTTTAGTTATCTTTTTAAAAGGAAATATTTTAAGTCTTTGTTTTATCATTTTAGAGGTTAAAAGATTTCTCAGAAGTTCCAAAATCTAATTATATGTTATTGCTGTATATCTTAAATAGAAAAAAAAAACAACTTGAATAATTTTTCTTATAAGGGTATGTTTTTCATATTCATTTTGTTGAAAGATTAAAGTTTTTCATTGTAAATAAATTTTAATGTAAACTTGTGACAATATCAGTTGTCATGTCGAATTTTAATTACTAATAAAGCAATAACTGTAATGAGAAAAGTTTTCAATTTTAGTTATTTTAATGAATTATTTATAAACTGTCATAGTATGAAATCAATGCTCTGCCTTGATTCATCCCAAATCTGAGATTTCTATCATATTAATATTGTAATTAGAAACAGTAATAGAGCTGGCAACTTAAAAAGCATACTTTCTTCTTGACAATTTAGCGTATATCTCTGAGTGCATAGAACTTCAAGAACTTTCATTCCACTAATAAATTTATTAACTCAAACTTAAAAGTGGAAAGTCTCTCTTTCTTTTTCTCTCCCCCAGGCCAGTCTGCTAAAATAGATTATTCATGCTTATTTGATTCAGGTAGGCTTTTGCAAGCTTCCCTGCTAGGCCTGGGAATGTGGTACATTGAGGCTTTTTCAGAGGTTCCTGACATAGACCAGGCTTTTATTGCATGGTGTTTTATTATAGCCAAATCCTAGTCTCCACCCAGTTTGTAGGCACTCTGCTTATTCTTTTGAATCAGGAAAGGTTATCACCTACCTTAATCCATGCAGCAGTATGGATTAAGAACACCAGTGTGCCCCAGGACTCTCAAAGAGGATCCTGGAAACTTCTTGTTTCTTCTTTTTTGCTGTCTTTACTAAATTCTATTGGGCCTTAGGGGGATTTGCATCTGAAATGGGCAGCCTGGTGTTTTTCTCAATGAAGACATCAGATCAAAGTTCAGTTAGTCAAGGCCTTTCTCAAACATTAACGGGGTTTGGACTTTACACAATAAAAAGATGAGCTCTAGCAGAGATTGCAGTAAAAACATTCTGAACTATAATCCGGATAAAGAATAGATTATAGGCCAAAGAACAGACCTTGTTTAAATTGTTTTAGACTAATAACTTTACATTAAATAACTTTATGTCATATTCGTAATTGTAAGAAACATATTTGAATACTGTAATTTTTGTAGCTATTTTCATGACGAAGTTTTTGGAAATGATACTTCTGTTCATATTGTGTTAGAAAGATTAGCCTGAAGTAAATAGATTGGTCTCTATCAATGAAAAGAAATAGTACCTTATGGAGCAGTGAACATTCATTTTGTTTTGAAAATAAACGTCAAATCCACAAACTGAATCTCAGTGTTTCTATCAGGCATTTCAAATGCTTATTCCATGTTCCAGAATAATTTGATGTTTGTTAGCATTTAGTTTAAGAATATGAATCTTTGAGGCCTTAAATGCAAATATCAATGTCAGGAAATGCATTTCTTATCTAATTAACAAATTGTTAGTCACTTTAGTAAGATAAATTGAGAAGCCTCTGTGTATAGTTTTTCAATTTCTGCAGAGTATCTGGTTCTGTTGAAAGTGTCTGTTACGTAGCACTAAGGCTAGCAGACGTGATGAGCATAACAAAACTTAGATCATGACTATTCCTTGAGATTTATGATTGATCTGATTACAGCCAATTATCAACTTCAGTTTGTTAGTAGTTCAGTTTTGGATTGAAATCCTTATGTATTTCTAATGTGCTGAGGGAAAGGAATCAGCCCAGAGTCCATTCAAATTAATATAATAATAAGTTATGTTACTAAGCTTTTATTGTTCTGTATAAATAATTTAGCATCAATGAGTTAATGATTATGGGAAATATAATTTGTTGAAGACATTATTAGAAAGAACAAAAGATGAAATTATCAATGAAATCATGATGATACCAGATTTCAGATTTATCTAATGTAGCTTACATATCTCCCACTTAATTCTGAACTTTGTTGTTCTCTGTTTTATCCCAGTATATTTTAGACTGTGAGCATAATTTTAGTCAGAAATTTTGAATACACAGTATGCCCTGGTTTATCAGAATTTAATTTTTGAATGATGCTTAGTTTAATATTCTTAAATATCTAGTTTTTTGTGGATCCATCACCAGTAGATTAATTTGTTTTGTTTTCATTAGTTCTTTACAACTACATATTTAATTTCTCATTAAAACCTAGAATCATGAGAATTATGTGTATAATTTCTTGAACTTAAGAAGCTGTGTAATAGTACTTTAAAAAAAATTTAAAAGCGCAGGTATTTAAATTCTTACCAAATGTGGGAACTGCTAAGAATGAAAAAGTGTGGGAAATAAAAGGTTGATTTCTAACAAAAGTCTAAAATGATAAAGATATTGTATGTTTCTTTAAACTTAAGTAAATCTGTTTATATCAACTTTTATTAACATTAAGAATATATGAATATGTTAGTGTTTTGTTGGATGCTTGACAAATGAATTATAGTTAAGAAAATAAATACTTGTTTTTCAAAAACGGTATGACTCTTCTTAACAGACTGGACCAGTATCTTCATCAAGATTTGGTCACTATTATGATATTTCAAAAAGAATGCCCCAAGAACTAATTCAGACTTCAAAATGGCATGGATTTTTTCTTCCAGAAGAATTGTCTTCATCTATTAAAGTGGAACCCTGGTAAGTCAATGACTCTTATAAAGCAAATTCTAATTTCAGAGGTTAACAGAATGCATCTTTACCACTTTCTTTGAAAGAATGCTATCTAAGCATACATATCCTAAGAATAAATAATCTTTTTTAATGTAATATGTAACATTAGCTGTGTATGTGTTTAATAATATTTCACTATAAATCTTTTTTTCCTTTTCAGGCCCTATATAATAGTTAACCCTATTGTTACTCTAATTTACATTGTGAAAGGTCTGGAGATCAAATTTACAACACCCGATGCTTTATTGTCTTAAAATTGTAGAATAGTTCTAAATTGGGACTGTTCAGCCATAAATGCAAATAGATGCTTATTGGTAATAATAGAAAAGAAAATGATGTAAAATGAAACTATACACTGAGAAAATAAACAAGTTTAAAGTAAAATAAATAAACAGGCAAGTGTCCATCACTTAACATCCATTCCCACAATGATCAGGTACATATCTATACATGATCCCTAAGGCATTTGTTTTATTTTTTGTTGCTGTTTACTTGTTTGTTTTGTTATTTTAAAGGAAGTCAACTCTCCTTTTATAATTTCACCCTAATGGCTTTAAAGTCCCCAGTATGAACTATCAGTGGGACTCCAGGGCACAACCCAATTCTTGTAGAAATCAGCCACATCAGCAAGGTGACAGCAAGCAGACCTTGTGCCCAAATGTGTACAAGGTCCCATTCCAGCTGCCAGCATAGCCCCCATCTAACCCAGCTTCATGCCCAGTAAAACTAAAGTCCTGTAAGTATAGATCTCCAGTTTTGTCTGGCCGCCTCCTACAAGGTTAATATAATAAGCTTCATATGTATTTAACTATGGATTGTACAGAGACCACCTGTATATAATATGTTGTTCTCACAAGTCCAAATCTCACAATGTCCTGTTTCACAAAGCATATATCATGGATGTTAAACAGCACATACCTGTACAGTTTTCCAATATTTTATTTATTAAGGCTCTCTAGTCCTAGTTATGCTGTAAATAAAGAAATTTGTAGTTTTTTAAGATACTTCAGGAAATTTCAGACTCAAGTTTTACAATAAAACGTATAGGTATTAAACCAAACTATTAGGTTTGTGTTATCCACCACTCATCTGTCAGTTTGTCGTACTGTCGTGGCTTGCCTGCTGCTGTAATATTGTAAGGTATACCAGTAGGAACACCCATTGTGGACAGGATTCATCAGCACTTTCAGAGTAAGACAGACTCGGAAGAAGGAGAAGCAGACTACTTATGAATGTTTAGACACTGAAAACCTTTGAAACAGTAGTGGAACACTGTTAGAGAGCACCAAAATATTTAATATTCAAACATCATGAATAGCACCAGAATATTGTCAAACATAGTGCCAGAAGATGAGCCTCTCAGGTTGGAAGGCACTCAAAATGTGACTGGGAAAGAGTTGTTTCCACAAATTGGAGTTGACTATGATGATGCAAATGGAGTAAAACTTTCAGAACCTTCATTTGCTGATGGGACACAACTCAAACTGAGGAGAAACAGCTGTAAATACCCATTAATAATCAGAATGTGGATGGTATGAGGTATGAATCTAGTAAAATTGGAAGTTGTCAAAAATGAAACGGAACACATAAAGATTGATATCTTAGGCATTAGTTAGCTGAAATGGACTGGTACTAGCCATTTTTCATCAAATGATCAAATCATTTACCATACCAGGAATAACAAATTAAAGAGGAATGGCATCACATTCATTATCGGAAAGAACATTTTAAGAGCCATCTTGAAGTTCATTGCTGTCTGTAATAGGATAATATCCATATGCCTCAAAGGAACGTGGTGGCTCCATATGATAAACACTGGATTGTTTTCAGCCCAGATCCATCTAACATCAGCAATGACATCCTTTTGTTCTATACCCTCATCTAAGTCCGTCTTTAACCTCGGGCAGTTCTCTGCCAATGTACGTTTGCAGCCACTTTTGGATTATCTTTAGCAAGATACTATTTGTGTGTGATATTAATAATATTGACCTTTGATTTCCGCATTCCATTAGGTCACCTCTCTTTGGAATGGGCACAAATTATGGATCTCTTCCAGTCAGTTGGCCAGGTAGTTATCTTCCAGATTTCTTGGCATAGATGAGTGAGTGCCTTCAGTGGTACCGATTCCTAATTTTTGTCAATTACTGAACCAAACACATTACGTAAAAGTCTGGCAAATAGATCAAAGTAACACTTCCATCTGTCAAATTATACATAGAACCCAAATTTTTTTCTGACTCAAAAACCTGCATTATCAATAATGGTATAGTGCTTCTGTTCATGAAAGTGCTTTTGTTGTTGTTAATGTTAAGTGCCTTTGAGTCAGTTCCAACCCGTAGTGACCCTGTATAGGATTTACTAGGAGCAGCTGGTAAGTTGAACTGCCAACCTCGCGGTTCAAACTGCCTTTGCAGTCCAGTGCATTAACCCATAGTTAATGCTATACCAGGACTCCATGAAAGTGCTTAGGGATTTTTTTTTTTTTTTAATTAAACAAAAAATAATATGATGTTACTTTTGTGATTAAGAGAGAAATTAAGGTTGAAGCTATTTTGAAATTAGAATAGATAAGGTTTTTATTCATTCATTCAACTAAGAGGAATTGGGAATTAATATTTGTTGAGAGTTTATTCAGTGTCTATCAGTATTCCAGGCATGTGGCCATAGAATACTCACTTTACCCTTTCAGCAGCCTTTAAAGAGAAGTATTATAATCTGTATTTGATAGCTGAGGAAATTTGTAGTCAAAGATACTTATGTTGCTGTTGAGTCTATTCCAACTCTTCCAACTCAGAGCAATCCTGTATGGTGTTTCCAAGGAGCAGTTGGTGGGTTTGAACCATCCAATTTGCAATTATCAGTCCAGCTTTTAGTTTACCCTACAGCGCCCCACAGTTACAATGCTGAGATCCAAATCCAAGTATCTAAAACCTCTGCTCTTTTTGTTGCACCAGGCTGTCTCCGTAAATGGAGGCAGTCAATGTACAGCGCACCAAGCTAGGTGTAAGAAAATTACACACTGACTAGCTGTGAGTATATAGTCCTATAATCTTGAAATAATATTTTTCAGAATGTTTTTTGAGAAGTAGCAGTTTTATGCAGAATAGAAAAACTTACAGATTTTAATTATCAAGGCAGTATTTCATTTCATAGTAGTTAACTGATAATTCACTTATTTCATATTAAACATAATGCTTAATTAAATGTAATTAAACTTTAAACATGTAATTAAATTAATTTTGAAGAGGGTACTTTACCATGTGAGATTTATTTTAATTTATGAAAAGCGTGTGCTCATTTCAATAAAGTGAACTTTACTGGTTCATTTATAAAACAGTAAAGCTAAGCCTTACCATTTTCTATATTTTTCCTATAATTAAGACTAGAGGATATAGCTGTGTCCCACTGCCATATGTGGGTTATAATATATAATTTCTAAGGGCACTGTTGAAATATCTTTACAGTAAGAAACATTGAAGGTCATTTGACATTTTCAGTAACTCATTGATTTCGTTCTGGTGTGGTTCTCTATAGGTTAAGCACTAAATTGGTAACTGCAAGGTCAGCTCTCAGAACACACCAGTTGCTCTCAGAAACCTTATATGGTGTTGCTGAGAGTCAGAATTGACTGATAGCACACAAAAACAGCAACAACAACAATTGAAAATGATTGTTAGGTTTGCCTATGGTGCATACAATTTGAACTTTCAAGTGGAAGCAAGGGTCAAAAACCCTAAGATGTACCATGGTTTCGTTTCGGTATTTCATAGTCATAAATGATGATAGGAAAATATTTTTGATGACAATTCTGTTACCACAGTTTTTTATTTTTGTTTTTTAATTTGACATTGTTTTGAATAAAACTTTCTTAAGAGGCACTTAATAACAACAACAGCAGGCATACCCAGATATTGTTCTGTTTCCTCATTATAAAAATTTAGCATTCCTCAAGGTAGCAGCCATGTTTTAGCTTCCATATCAGTTAACATATGTACTATCATACTGTTTAACCTACTATACTGTATAAATGTTACTTTAAGAGTAGGTATGTCAGGTCATTAATATTCATTTACATAACAATTGGTAATATATAGAATGAATTTATTTTGAGATATGCAAGGTGGCTTCAAAAAGTTTTTGGAAAATTCCATTATCTTTTCATTCCATTTTTCCATGAATTTTGTGAGGCGGCCTCCTATCTTTGATTAGAAGCACTGTATTTCTATTGGATAAGGACAAGATCCTTTTTCGAGCCTACAAGCCCCTCTATGGGAGAAAGATGAGGTTTTCTGCTCAGCTGAATGTGTATAGCCTCAGAAATCCTATGCAGGGTCCCTGTGATTTGGAACCGACTCACCGGCAATAAACAACATAGCTCTGAAATTCAAGATTTTATTGTGTGGTGCTCTAGGATCAGCACCAGAATGTGAAGCACAGAATTGTCAGTTCAAACCAACCAGTTGCTCTAGTTGGAACTGACTCAACGGCACTTGATAACAACAATGATTAGCCCAATAAATGAGAGAAGAAAAAAAAAGGTGCTGTCTAGACAATCCCAGCTTAGTAACCACATGTATGTCAGAATAGAATTGTGCACAAGTTTTTCAATGACTGATTTTTTTAAAAGGAGACTGCTAGGGCTTTCCCAGTTATCTCTGGGTAGACAAGAAGCTTTCAGTTAGCCTGGAATGCTTAATTCTGCATTATCCAGGAATCCCCTAATCACCTTACAGTGTGATTTTTTTGTCATGTCTACATGCTTATCTTTCCCTCTTCAAGGACTGGAAATAAAGAAATCACACCTTTTCTATTACCCACTTGAAACAGCTCTTCCTGGCCTCCCTCCTCTGCCAAAGTGCCTCACAAGATGGTTGAGCCAAATCTGACTAGCCATTCAACAATAAGTGTCATTCTCTTATCATCCCTGCTCAGTCTATCCTCACAGCAAGCATTCCATTAACCTTTCT